TGTGCTAGTGTAACATGACCATGAAAGTACAGCTTTGGACTACTGAAAAGGCTTCTGAGCAATAATTCTAATTTTAAGTTACTAATATTCAATTATTCTATCAGATAAGTTAATTCTATTAACTTAAAAATTTAAATTAATACTTCTAAGTTTAATACAATTACTTTCAAATGCAGTACTTAACCATCCCCACATTTAAAATTAGTTCATCCATAAAAGGTTACGTGAAGAAGTGTTAACATGTAAAATCCTCAATTTTCATACACTGATGTGCTTTGTGAGCAATTAGGAATTAAGCTTCATTTGTGCAGTACCACCCTCTATAGTTGTGGCTGAACTTTACCCAGCAAGTAATCTAAAATGTTGCAACTATCACAGGATCTACAGTGTAAAAGACTGCCTTCGTGTGAAATGTACAGGTATTATTGTACAAAGAAAATTGAAAACTGTGTGAAAATTGTGAAAATTCAAACCCTTCTGTTTCTGCAGTACATATTTTTCCATGGTTACCATGTAAAAAAAAATACATTCTAAGAATGAGTTCCAAGAACAAAATTTTCTAGGGCATTACTGTAAAATACCTTGTAAACGTATCACATTCTTGAGTAAAGGTTGTTAGCAAATTCTAGTAGTTAAATACAAATACACAAATTAATCAGATTTTCCTCTTGTAGTCAAAAGCATGTACCAAGTAAAACATTGATGGCATCTGCTGCAGTTTTCCTCTAGTTGAGCTATCCACCCCTCTGCACCGTAAGATACTGGGTAACTGCCTAGCACCAACTTTCCTCTCCATATTACTGCTCCACCTTCCCTCTTTGCAGAAGTTCAATGACTGAAGAGGATAATACTGCTGGGCAGCTATCACCGAGAGTAAGTTTTATGGTTACATTATTAGAAACAGTAAGCATAAACCTGCAAGTAGTTAATCTGATATGCATATTACATATAAATTCTCTGCAAGCAGGCAATGCTTCTCATAATACTACATACACTCATGAACAAATACCCTTTTCTTTAGAAGTAACCCAGGTTTTACTAACCTCATTTCTTCTTTATACTGCAAACTAAACAACTGCAGGGGCTGTTCACTGTATGGATGCATTTTATAAGTTACTTGAAAAGAGCAACTCTTGTGTGGTTTTTTCTTTTTTCAACTATTTCATACAAGGCATCAAACTAACAGCAGATGCGCCAATCTTTGTTTAACTGCATTTGTGTTTAAGTCCACTCCCTGCAAGCTACTTTGTCCCAGCCCTCACGTTAACAAAAATACAGAGTCTCATGTACACGTGCTGGAATCAGTAAGAAATCTTCACAGCTGCTAGGGTAAATCAGCAAAACAGCTCTTCATCTCTTCGCAAGATTTGAGCTTCTGACACATTGCTATACTGACATATCTCCTGCAGAACACACTTGCAGTATTTACAGGAAAGGGTTGCCTGCAGTAACTAGCCAAGCAGTTCATTTATAACCTTAAATAGCAGAGGGACTGGCTTCCTGAATAAGGAAGTCTTGTGTAAATAAATACATTTCACAATTCAACACATCCAGCGAACAACAAGTTTTTGTTTGCCTCAAGATCAGTGCAGGCAAAAAGTAGGTAAGAGTGTCTACTACCCATTCTGATAAAGAATGGGACTTTAGAGAGAAACAGGTTAAAGTCAGTGTTTATTTGGATAAAAGGCAGGTGTAAAACTTGCACAGAATTGATTTGCAAACACTGCAAAAAATTTAAATGAAAAACCTAAACACATTAATTCTTAATGGGCTGGAATATCTGTCAAGCAACTAGAGTGAATAAAGGAAAACACCAAAAACATCACGCAAGTCACAAAACTGCTTGTAAGAATCACAATAATTAAAGCTGGGATACTCCTGCTGCAAACTTTGGCCTGCAACAGCAGTCCCCACAGCAACTCTTAAAGGAACCAGCAACAAATAATTATATAAACAATTTGCTATGCAAACTAAAAAACAAAGAAAGAAAAAAAAAATCTGTTAACAAAGTATACATAAGAAATGTAACAACAGGGACTAGAGTAAGTCACAGTTCAGGAGACGCAAGATTACAGCATACCAAATACCCTTTCCTTTGGAAGAAAGCCCAATTCTATTAAACTCCTTTTTCGCTTGTACTCCAAACCAAGCATCCTGAGGGACTGTTCACCGTATGGATGCATTTTAAGAACTACGTCAATGCAGCGACTCTTGTGTTGCCTTTTCTTTTTCAAATGTTTTATACAAGAATCAGAACAAAACACGAACCTAGGTCAACACTGAAGATACCACCCTCATCCACTGTCAGAGGGTAACGGGTAACATCGGGGAACTTTTGAAAGGAAGAAACCGTTAGTCTCATGAGATGCATATAGGAAGATGTATAGTTCTGGCACCTGGAAATTTCATGGCGTCCTTCCATTTTCTAGAGTGTTTTCAGCAGTGGGAATAATTAGTTGCCACTTTTTGTCCTTTGCCCTTAAAAGATGTTTCCAGTGCCCGTAACTAAGACATTTACACTACCTCCCTTCACCCTCGCTCCTGAAACACTCCTATTCTACAGTGCACACAAAGCTGGACAATAATTCAGCAGAGTCTGTCAGCATTGCTCATACTCTTTTCCTCACACTGCTCCATCTGTCTCCATGCACATTTGGTAACTACTATCCTATGAGCATAAATTTCTGTATCAGCCATTACCTCTATTTGCAGTATTTGAAAGGACTAGCCCAATCATGTATTTGGGGATACTTGGGAGTATTAAGCCTATTTCTAGTGAAACAAGATCTAGCAGAGTAGTGTCTTTCAGAACTGGGAGTTGGGGCTATTAAAGTTACTTGGCCTTCCAGTATTATCTGTTCAAGAAAGTTCTGTTGCTCAAAACAAAAACCCTAAACCAAAGAAATTGAAAAAGTTTTTCCTTCTTTCAAGTCTTTCCAGAAGGGGGGGGCAGAATCTTATAACTGGAGCTCTCCTGGGGAAAAAAATAAAAGAAAAAAAAAAGCCAACTGTACTTGCAATTGAAGAAAATATATCACTTTTTCATTGAGGTTTCACTTGCATCTTGGCAATCTTTCACAAGGAGAGCATCTGATTTTATCCACTGACAGGGTGTAATGTAACACTGCTGCAGTGAAGGCAGCCACAAAGGTGCACTGAAAAGCAGAAGTGGTTTAAGCCGGGAAGTGTTTACAGCAAAGACTTAATCTAATCCTTACTTGATGGAGCATGAGATAGTCACCTTTCTGTTGTCAAAATTAGGCTTCTCATTTATAGATCCTTTCGACTGGGAACTGACACTTGGTAAAAGTTGCAGCTATTTATTTCTATTTTTAATGGAACCAGGAGCCTGGATGTCAAGATGAATGAAATCTACAGATGCAGATTGTGGAACAAAGCCCCAGGGAAAAGAAAACAAAACCAAACCACCACCACCCCCCCTCAAAAAAAAACCCAAACCCCCAAAACCACCAACAAAACAAAACAACTGCAACCTCTGTTTCACCTGGTGAAAGCTGACTTCCATAAATCTTATTTCCTGTGGAAGCTACAACCTAACTGTAAGAGAAACAGAGAAAAAGGTGACAGAAAAGCCAGCCTGGTAACTGGTGAAAAGCAGAGACTTTCTGACCCAGCGAGAGACCTCTCCTTCAGCGGACTAAGGCAGCACATGGGGCCGAGGAAGTGCCGCAAGGCTGCAGCTTCACCCTCACTTTCTGGAGAGGCTGAGCATGGGCAGGTGTCGGCGGGGATGCTGGAGGCCATGGAGGCTGGGCCACCTCGTTCAGGAACAGCCCGTGTTTAGGTTTACTTGAACAGCCATGATGCTGTAACATAAATCTCCATAACGTAAGTACAAAGTTCTGAAACGCTGTCGTATAACTGTACCAATTTTGACATTTGTATATTGTACTGTGTACACCAAGGAAACGGCAGCCACACTCTTCATTTCAGAGAAGATGACCTCAACACATTTGTATGAGATAAGTATATATAAGCTGATATTAGATAAGGCAGTGGGATGACTCCTCCCACTCTATCTCATGCCATGTACAAAAGCGAAATCTTTGTAAAAATGGTCCTTTAATTTTGTAGGGCAAAGCAATAGCACACAGACCCCATATACACTATTATCTGTTTTTTCTTTTCAAGCAATCTCGAATTGTCTCAAGTCATTTTCCAAAGCTCCAGGCTATCTGCTTGAAACAAAAAGGTATTATTTCAGAAACTAATATATTTGTGCTTTTTGCAAACAATTTTCAAATGATATCTCTTTCTGAGGAAATAAATGTCCAGAGTTTATATATTTTGATACAACTTTCCATAATATTCCAAGTAAGAATACAGTACTCCATAATCCCCTTACATTCAAAGTCCCTTATAATAAGTAGTCACAGTCGTTTTGGAAAGCAAAAACCTGCCTGAGAAGTTTACTAGATCTATTACAGTGTCTCATTTCAAATGAGACTCCCCTCCCCTACTTCCATGAACGATCTCAACTATTCTGTTATCCCATCATTTAGAAAGAATAAAAGCCATAGAAGAATAACTGGTTCAGATGAAAAACAACAAAAGTCAGTTTACAATTTTTAGGTGACAATTATAATAATTTCAGAAGGCCTCCCTGATTTGTATCAATACGCATAAAATAATTTGAGTGACACATTAAGTGAACCGACATGTATATCATTCAATTATAAAATCTTCCAAAGCAGATTTTATGCCTTAGTTAATGATTTGTAACACTTATTTCTAAAAAAAAGCTTTAAAATAACATTTCAAATACTACGTACCAGTTATACAAAGCAAAATGTTTAATAGAATCTGCAAATCTTTAAGACTAATCATTTTTAATAGAAACCCACAGTGATTTGATTGCAAAAACAAAGAGATCAGTAGTCGATGCAGCTATGCAGACAAGAAAGGGAAACCTGGTAGATTTTTCTTGATTGTGAAGATGGAACAAAAAAATAGTGTCAAAGGTAATAAAAAAGACTTACCATTCATGCTGAAAAGCTAGTTTTCAGAAACATATTGCTCCTAATATTAATCCAACAGTTGATGAAGTATGTTAATCTCTACCAAATCAGTGCTTCAATCTCTAAACACACTTACACACTAACTGGAAAGAGCAAGCACACAGAATCCGGAGAGCTGCTCTTCCTTACGAGCTCCTTGTGATGCAAAAAACTGTGAAGCACAGGATATCAGTAGTAAATCAAATTCAGGACACAGGTATTTGGTTTTGCTCATTAACTACTTCTGTTCTGACCAATGCTACCTATTCATGTCTAAAGCAGCTCAAAATGGCAGGGGGAAAAAAGCATGCAAACACCAGGAGGTTTTAAGATGTTCTCAATTATATCAAGCACTGGTTGTTTCCATGGCAACCTTAGACCAGAATTATCTGTTGACTTGTACCCAACTAGTAGTTATTCTAAAGCTTTAATCAATTCACACAGTGTACTCTGCACATTATTTCATATTTCACGTGTGTTTTTCTCTACTGACACACACATATATATGTGTGTAATTATTCAGCTAAACCTCTGCAAGTCATTCCATGGTATTTGAAAGTATACTGACATTATTTTGAATGAGTTAGAGACCAAATAATATTCCTTTGACTCTTCATCGTCCATCCATTTGCAATTTAGAGGCTATGAAGATGACAAAGAACTAGTCGCCACTAGTGGCGACTCCCCTGACTATTTTGGTTATCCAAATTGTTAATGTGTTCTCTTATTATACACAGATTTGGAAAACATTTGTATCAGTCCAAGAATAAGAGATTCACACTGATCTTACTGTCTCTACATTCAAAACCAAGGAGCCTCATTCTTCCTTTCCCATTGCAATCTTTCAAAGAACAACAAGCAACTACGAAAACAAACAGAAAAATCAAAACATAGGTTCCATATAGTTGCAAGTGGTCACAGTCAAGACATCTAAACTAAGAATGAAATTCATTGTTCTGATGACTACCATCACATCCCTTTCATCCTTCGGCTGTGCAGCACAACAACTGACCCGGTTACCAGCTCAGGCTGTACAATCACACATGTGCCCAGTCAGCTTTTTACAACAGATTCCAAGGACCCATGGTGCCCTGAGCCATCTCTGCCCTAATGGATTCCGAGGATTTCACAAAAGACATTCGTTTCATGCATCAATCAAGAATCCAAGGCCCGTTAGAAAAACCTGTATGTTTTACCTACCAAAATAACAAAGTAAAGATGTTAGAATTTCAAAATCAACCACTGAAAACCCCCTAAGGCCATAGACCACGTGGCAAATTACTCAAACCCACAACACTAGATGACTGACAACAAAGTCCACCTAAGAAGCAGTAGCTCCTTCCCCTCCAGCAAACCCATAGCTTCAGCAGTAACTGCTTGTAAAAGGACATGCACAGAAACAGACCTGTTATATTTCATTACAGCAGAGGGTATACATACATTAACTTTATTTTCAAGTGGATTCTACCTCAACAAAAATTGAGAAGCCACTTTCCAAACTTTTTTCAGGAATTAAGTGCTTTTGCCTTGAACTTCAAGAGTAATTTACTCTGCCTGCTACATAGCTTCACCTAAAACCTTATACCAACACTTTAAGTTGCCATGATATGGGCAGAACAGCTGAGAATACTCAAATATCCTTACAAGACAAACACCAGTATGTTTCTAAACACTGCTTGTTCATTAAACTTTCTGTGAAATTAATCTAAGAGCTGAATTCAGTGACCCTATGCAATTCCATGACATTGAACTCTCAGGAAAAAAACCCCACACCCCTCTTCCCCCCCCAAACCAAGACCAAAGAATTCTATTTCTCTTTCATTTTTCACAAAGAGTTTTCACAGATGATGTATTTTTCTAAAGATGTAATTAGGAGTCAGTAGTGGAAATAGCCCCTCCACTGTACTCGTCTTCTCTATCACTCTTTTGGGTGCAGCGGTAGTGCAATGAGAACCTTTAAACATAGATTTAGTCCATGTGTACCTGCAGTATTGTTATTTATTATTTTTTTAAAATAATCCACAAGTTGAGAGTAAAGGTTCAGGATAAAGATTCAGAATTTCACTCTGAAACCAAAGGTACATAATCAACCACAATCCAGCTACCAGCCCAGTAACTGTGGCTCAGAAAAATTACATGTAACCACTGTGCTTAATTATGACTTAAAATAGCGTTTGTGGAACAGACATTTTCACAATGTTTATCAAGAGACACGACAGTCCATTTCCTCATCAAGCATGTCACATGAGGAAGCCTGCCTTAAATAGAGGGGAAAAAAATAGCAGAGACTTGTACACAAACAGGTCACAATTTGTAAGTGTCAGTAGGTCAATACCATTTTTTTCTTCATGTTATATAAACAAAAATGTCAGTATTATTTTTTCAAATAGCTATTTACATTAAAAAAAAAAAGCTTCTACATAAACACAAGTGTGTGTCTATTTTTACCAAGCTCAAGATATTTTGGAGAAGTGGAAGTTCAGAATTTATGCACTTTCATCATTTATCTTCCCCAGAAAACTCGTTGATCCTTTCCCATCCCATTTGGGAGACCTAGATTTAATCTATTTTAGGTCAATGCATTAACATCCTTTCATTTCCATGTTTACTTTTTATCCTCTAAAAACAGATTCACTCCCTACTCATATAATATTTTAAATTGCAAGCAGGGAGATGTATAAACACTGATTTTCTTCATGGTAACACTGTGATGCTAAGCATTTCCAATAAGGCCTATTTTCAAATGAAATAACTGTACTGTCTCAAATCCATCAATGAATCTGAAATCTGGAACAAAATGATCATGAATTACCATATCGTAACATTTTAAAATGAGTATTTAACCACAGAGACAATAAATAATTGCTTTGAAAAATAATGCATGGCTTTAATAGAAAAAAATGAAAGTCAAATGTCAATTTACTTAGATTGTGGTATTTTTTGAAATCTCTCACTCTCATTCTGGTGAGTGCAAAAATGCAATCATGGAAAGTTTTAATAGTACAAAAAACATTGTAAATTGTTCATTAATTAAATTAAAACCTAATGATAGTCAGCATTCCCACACTAAATTAATATATAAGTTAAAATCAAACACAATTTTATATTGTTTACCACTGTATAGAGCATTCTGATGTATATATCCCTTAAAATAAAATGATGAATGACAAAAAGTCCTGTAATTAGAATTTTAATCTGTGCAATGCCTGCCTATTCCAAAGTTTAAACATTACAATCTTTAATGATGTTTCTGTTTCTGCTGAACTAGCTGATTTAATTTCAAAATAAAAGTAATTTAGGAGTAAAAATTGGGGGGAGGGGCTTGTCAAAACAAGTCAACTGTGGTTTAAGAGACAAGAAGGCACGAGGGATTAATCTCCCTGCCAGCCACCAGGCCATGAACCAGCCCCCCACCTCTCCCTGCCTGATGCAATATGCTGTTCTTTAAATTAATACCTTTCGGTAATGAATTGCAAGACGTAATACTGATCAGTGTTTGTATTTGATTACAAACACGCAAGTTCTTCACTTACCAGGCAAACTGAAGAGTGAATATCTATAAAACAAACAAACCCCCCTACTTACTTGATTTGTCCCATAGGACAGCAAGTTCCGAGCAATGTTGGCTCTCATTCTCCAGAGCCGCTCGCTGTTCATGCGCACCACTCTTTGAATGCCTATGGAAAAGACGATTAGCAAAACCTTCCAGTCTCTGCAGCGCTGTGGCCGTCCCTGTGCACTGGTTACAAGGTACCTCCTTCTGAGCTGCCATCTACACACACCGGCGACTTTTACAAAAGCAAAAGAGAAAATATCTAAAGGGAGCTGGACAAGCCAGAGTCACTAAGAGCTATGCATGTGTCAAGCTTCCTGAATGCAGTGTTTTCTAACCACTGCTCTCTTCTACTTCCTGTTAAGAAAAGCTCTATAATATACTGGTTTATACTGCTAAAAGTCTCTTTTTATGTCAATCGAAGAGTGTTTTTCTAAAAAAAATATGCAATAATTGCTCTAGCATGTGTTTTCACAGCTTTTTAATGCATCCCATTTTATACTTACATATACATTTTATGTAAAATACTATAAACAGCCTGTTCAGAAGTAAAGATCAGAAGGCAGATATATATGTTTTTTAATTTACCACAACCATGCATGAAAAAAGAAAAGTGACTACTCTGCAGTTCTTCCCCCTTTACCAAGATAGAGTGCTACCATCATCATAGCAAACATAACCAACTGTGATCTAATCATTAGTAATCTCATGTTTCAACTAAACAACCGTCTAAGCAAGAAGGTTACTTGCAAAAACTACTCAACAAACTACTATTTTATTGGGGAGATGGGGGGAGTATTATTTTCCTCCTTTAAGAAAAATCAGACTGAAGAAGTTGAATCCTAACATACATACAAACACAACTGCATTATACTTATCCTAACTGGGTTTTACTTACTTCAGGAATGAACCAAATGGATTTAACTTTTTCAGGAGTAAAGTACCAGAACAACCAGTGCTGGCAGGTCCTTATCTAGCAGCATGTTCACTCTCCCAGCCCCAAAGGCAGCTGAAAGGAGTCACAAAGTCACGGTCACCAGCTCCCATCATTGCTTACGTAAAAGCTTTGCATACAAGTCTCCTGGAATTGCGTAAGAAAAGTTTTTCATTCACAAGAAATTAAAGTATTTTCAGCTGTAGAGTAAGTCTAGAAAGCATCATTTTTAATGGTATGAAACATAGGGAAAGTGAATTGAAAGCTGTATTTAACATTAAATTATTTTAATTTGCAAACTATGTAATTTTGCATGCTTACAATGGGTAATACTAAATACTCATTTGTGTGCAAATGGAACCACACACATTGGGCAGGTTTCCCAGTATATCCTTTGCACATATAAGACATGGCTTCTTAAAAATTTAGGCTATTCTTAAGGAAGATTGAAATAACTGTTCCACAATCTGTCTCCTGTCTTACAGTCAACACGTGTTAAAGACATACATCCCATTTTTCACCACCATACTTCTCGCTGAATAGTTTTCAAATGTCAGCAGATATCCATCCTTGGACATTACATAACTATTTCATAACAGCTCTGTTCCTAAAAAAAAAAAAAAAAACCACATGATGACAAACCGCCTATGATAATGATAAAACAATAAAAATGCCAAGGGACAGACTTTACAGATTTGGCTACATTCCTCCTAATGAGCACTTCTAGACTTCACACACAGTTTCTAGAGTCTATGCAAAACACAGAAATGCCCTTTGCTTTCAGGCTCCAGATATACTCTGGAAATGTAATTTCTTTCTCCAGCACCTGGTCAAAATTTGGAGACAACTGTTTAAATGCTTATGTTTTACACACCAGTTTGCAAACCTG